GTTTCCTGTGTTATTTATTTGTTGTTTTAATTTAATGTATTTTTTAATTTAACTATTTATTGTGTAATTAATTAATTTATTTCAATTATTTATTAATAAATTATGTATTTAGTTATGTTTTTCATTGGTTTTTAATTAATTTATTTATTTATAATTAATTTATTTACTTATTTTAATTCATTTATTTATAATTTATAGATTGTTAGTTACCTCTTATTTATTTATTTTTAATTAATTTAATTAGGTAACACACACAAGGCCTCTAGATAAACTACTGTTCAAAAGTTTGGGATCAGTAAGTTCTTTAGTAAGTTTTATATATTTTTTTTAATTACTTTTATTCAACAATGGCACATTAAACTGATCAAAAGTGATAGTAAAAATTCAAATAAATGCTGTTTTTTTCAAAAACATAAAAAAAATCTTACCGACCCACACTTTTCGCAGGCAGTGCATAAACTGATAAACCATATATACCTTGAATGCAATACAAGTCATTTTGGAAAAAAGTATCTGCCAAATGCATTAATATAAAAATTCTATGATTTCTAAAAATGTCAACAAAACAAAAACAGAGCCATTCATTGTCTCTCATTCATCCAGTCACACAACAGCAGTCAAACTCACGGGTCTGTGTGTGTGTGTGTGTGTGTGTGTGTGTGTGTGTAGGACAGTTTGGAGCTCGTGTTCAAACAGTCCAAGTCAGTGGCCGTCACCTCCATGTCATTTCCTCTGGGTGACGTCAATAACTTTGTGGTGGGCAGTGAGGATGGGTCCGTCTACACTGCCTGCAGACACGGCAGGTGAGTGTGTGAGCGCTGATGTGATTGTGTCTGTTTCACATCTGCACAAGTGGTTTATATTGGTGCTGTGTGTGTGTGTGTGTGTGTGTGTTGTAGTAAAGCGGGCATCAGTGAGATGTTTGAGGGTCATCATGGACCAATCACAGGCCTCGACTGCCACACAGCGGCAGGACCGGTCGACTTCTCTCACCTGTTTGTCACTTCCTCTTTTGACTGGACCGTCAAACTCTGGAGTACCAAGGTGCCAAACACACTACTGATATAAACACTACAAACATTGTTTATACACTAATATAGTATTTATTAATCATTTGAATTACCCTTTATTTTAGTTTTAATTTTCATTTTAGTTCATTTGAGTAATTTTGTTAAAGTATGTTTTGTCATTTCTATTATTTAGTTTAACTTTATTTTTATTTCCTTTTTAGTATTTTTAGTACTTAAACTTATTTTATTACAGATTCAAATTTTCCTTTACATTTACAAGTTTAGGTTTTCACCTTGTATTTATATTTGATGTTATTTCTGCTTTATTTTAATGAACACAAATTATTTTTAATAGTTTCAATTCAAAGCGCTGGTCTGTTTGTGTCTCTCCTGACAGAACAATACGCTTTAATTTATTTTTATTTCATATTTTAGTACTTCAACTTATTTTATTCCAGTTTTTATTGAATATTTATATTTGATTTCAGTTTAATTTAATTTTATCTTTATTTCAATTAACAATTTCATTTTTATTTAGTTAGTTAGTTAGCAATAACTACACTGGTCTGTTTGTGTCTCACCTGACAAAACCACTTTATTTTTATTTCAGTTTTAGTTTGAGCAATTTTGGAACTTTAAATTTAGAACCTTAACTTAAACGTAAAGTTTTTTTGTTTTGTTTAAGTTTTAATATTTTTATGCAATATCTGCTATTTCAATGAACGAAAGCAATATTTAATAGCTTTAGTCAACAATAACGCTGAACGCTGGTCTGTCTGTGTCTCTCCTGACAGAATAATAAGCCCTTGTACTCTTTCGAGGATAATTCAGACTACGTGTATGACGTCATGTGGTCTCCCACACACCCCGCACTGTTTGCCTGCGTGGACGGGGTCGGACATTTGGACCTGTGGAACCTCAACAACGAAACAGAGGTACAAAAATCTCCTAGAAATATAATCTGAACAAATCCACAAGTCTTGAATGAATGATTATCTGCTGCTTCAGGTTCCCACAGCGAGCGTGACGGTGGAGGGAAACCCCGCGCTGAACCGTGTGCGCTGGGCTCATTCGGGACGAGAGGTGGCTGTCGGCGACTCTGAGGGCCAGGTGCACATTTATGACGTCGGAGAGGTGAGGATGCAATTAAATACAGTTAAATGAACTTCTGCAACTGTGGTCTGTCATTAAAACACGTCTTGTTTTCTCTACAGCAAATCTCAGTGCCGCGGCAGGACGAATGGACGCGCTTGAGGACGCTTTCAAAAATACAATTAAATGAAGTTCTGCAGCTGTGGGCATTGAAACACATTTATAGTTTTTCCTGCAGCAAATCTCAGTGCCGCGGCAGGACGAGTGGACGACTGTTTGCCTGCGTGGACGGGGTCGGACATTTGGACCTGTGGAACCTCAACAACGAAACAGAGGTACAAAAATCTCCTAGAAATATAATCTGAACAAATCCACAAGTCTTGAATGAATGATTATCTGCTGCTTCAGGTTCCCACAGCGAGCGTGACGGTGGAGGGAAACCCCGCGCTGAACCGTGTGCGCTGGGCTCATTCGGGACGAGAGGTGGCTGTCGGCGACTCTGAGGGCCAGGTGCACATTTATGACGTTGGAGAGGTGAGGACGCTTTCAAAAATACAATTAAATGAAGTTCTGCAGCTGTGGGCATTGAAACACATTTATCGTTTTTCCTGCAGCAAATCTCAGTGCCGCGGCAGGACGAGTGGACGCGGTTTGTGCTCACGCTCACCGAGATCAACGAGAACCGCGAGGACGTGGAGGAACTGGCTGCTCAACGATTGGCTGCATGATCACCATAGCAACCCCTGCTGACCAATCACGTTTCCTCTGCATTTGCATATCTCCACCCTCGCTGAAGTTATTTTAGTGACCGGCTCTTTTTTTAATTCTAGAGACAAATGGATTATTTCAGAAAGCAAGACTTTGCTATTAACAACTGAAGCACTTAGTGTTGCTAAACATTTTGAAGTAATAATATCACATCTATTTCCAGGATTAGAGGCTGATTTGGAGGAAAGGGAGGATTGATTGCTGTACTGCAGCACTAACACTACCAATATGCAAACTATTGTACAGCATCTTTAGATACTGAAGTAACCTGAGTAACAGGAGAAATGTGTTTTTAAAGCGGTGGAATATTTTTAACATTCCCTTCTGGATAAACCTTCACTTTATTGGATTATTTATAGCTTTTTAACAAATACATTTTGTTTTTAGCTCATAAAGACTGAACGCACAATTGTAATAACCAAATCAGCACACTATTCAATATGTAACTCAGTTCTTACTTCTGAATGCCTTAAAGCTTATTTCATAACACACACACACACACACACACACACACAAGTATCCACAATCTTCCATCACACAGCATTGCCCTCTTGGTGCTTGTTTATTCCAGCGCTTATGACTGAAAAATCTTTTTCCCTTTGCAAAACATTGGTAGAAATCTATAGATCACGGTTTTAAAAATGTCCCATGATTTGTCATTTCAAAAGGGCTGGGAGAAAAACCGTGGTCCTTTGATTAGCATTAACCTAAAACCTCCCTTTGGCACATATTTAGACTAATAGACTGTTATTATTTTGCCATTTATTTTATGAAGACATATTTCCTTTAACAGTTAAGCAAGTAGTTAATAGCCAGCTTGACAACATCTGCATCCTGTTATATTTATGTATTTTTACCATTTTAATCTGTAATTTTACATATTTATTTGTCATTTGAATTTAGTGACCTCCCAGCCAATAATGCGACTGCTCTTGCAGAAATTTTAAATATTTCAGTTGATTCATTATCTGTGGATTTTATTAGTATTTATGTAATTTGTGTATTTTTCTTGATATTGTATACGCAGCATTATTGAGTGACAAAATCTCAAGACCTAAAACCGCTTCCCTTTTACATTCATATAACGTGTAGTGTAAAATCGTAACAAATATTGGCTTTTAGTAATGTTTTTAATGGATTTATATCAAACTTGGACTAAAAATATTGTGGCCAATTAAAGGGTTCAGAACATCTAAAATGAAAATGTACTCGATAAAAAACTTGAGCAGTCCAGAAAGTCAAACCTGCCTTAATCTAGACAAATCTTCTGAACCAAAGCTGGTGTGTTTTTGTCTGTTTCTATTGAGTGTTGTTTTTCTGAAATGAAGGAAGCTCTGGATACTTGACTCAGTATCTGACATCTGAACACATCCATCAGGGTCCCACGCTCAAACAAACACAGATCAGATCAGATCATGGAAATTATAAAAGCACTATATTAACAACTCCAGGAAAGTTGTGTAAATAAAATTTATTTAGCTTCTTTAGTTTCTATAGTTTGGGTTGTCATAGTTATGTGCTTTTGGCTAATGATTAATTGTTAAATAATTATGAACAATTTAATAGCAACAGCTTAATACCCATACACAGTTAATGGGTTAATTTATTCATAATGAATATGAAACATTCATAACTACACATGACAATGACAATATTAAAAATTATTAAAAGCATTTTAAAATATTTTAGGCATTTCAAATGCATATTTATTCACATTTGCTTAAAATTCCCTTATTTGGATATGATTGGACTTTCAAAAGCACATTGAGCAGTCAAAAAAATCAATTACATCAGTCTTGACAAGCCTAACCATATGCAAAATATTTCCTCAGCTAGAAGTTGTGCCTTGTGCATGCATCTTTTTAAATCCAGTAAATATGAATGCCTGGCAACATCATAGGAAATCCATTGGTCAAATTGTGTGGGATCCCTGATATACATGACCAGGACAAGTGTGTTGATCTTGCATGTGTGTTCGGTCCTCCAACGACTTCACTAACTCACTTTATCCGACCTCTTTTGTAACTTGCAGTAATAAACTCAATAAAACCTTCACAAACTAGAAATAAAATTGAACTGTATTGATTTATTTCCATAAAATACAAGAATGAATTGCTTTTAAATAATTTTCTACATTTCAAATCAACCGTGCTTGCTCCGATCAATCAGTCAAGTTTTGAAACCTCTGTACATCAGTCAGTGTGATGCAGACAGAGAGAGAGAGACACATCTCTGTGAGTGAGATGCACATGTATATACAGTACATGTGCAAGCTACGCAAAGCCTATTGAGCAAATGAAGAGCGCTACAGCATGCTTCGGTCACATCAATACATCATAATCATGAGATTAAAACTCAAAAGCAGCAAATGTGCATCTTGGGGATCAGAGGAACACAAAAACAACAGTACGTGTCATGGTTTTCCTTTCAGGAGTGTTTCATGAAAAGCTCTTTAGCTTTCGTTTCAGTGGCTGATGAGAGCCCTTGTTAGGTATTTCCCTGTAAGTGTTGCTTTAGGTCTCGATCGGTGTGGCAGACATCTACCCTGTGCTTCAGAAAACACACTAACACTGAGCTTTAACCAGTGTTCTTCATCAAAACTGAGGCACTGATATGGGTTAAAGCAACCAGACTCTGAAAATTAGTATAATTTCCCATGTCCCCCACCTAAAAAAAAAAAGTGTGTGAAATGTAGGCAAATGTACTGCGGGAGGGAGGCATGCAGCCACTGGAGGACAAGGCTGTGGTGGGCGGGGCATGACTTTACGAAGCGCCATCTTGTTCCTTGGGCGTTTCGGAGTGAATGGCCGTGACCCCGGAGGATTTGAACTTGGGCAGGTGCAGTCCGAACTTGTTCTCCACGCCGGCGAAGGTGGCGGCTGCCAGATGGTAACCGCCGACGTGCTCAGAACTGACAGGAGGAAGCTCAGAGATCCGGGATTTGGGCGTTGGTTCAGAACCAGCAGGGCGGCTGGAAGGGGAAGAGAAGAAGAGTTTTGTTCTTACAGCAGATGCTTATCCAAAGTGCCATATTTCTCAGTTGTTTGATCATTTCCACTGAATTAAATGCTTTACCAAGTGCAACAACACCCTTTCTCCAAGAAAAAGAAGACCATTATCAGAAAACCTTTTTTTGGCCAAGTAATAGAGTCCATCAACAAACATTCTTATGTATTCTATCAAATTTCATTACATACATTAAAAATCTGTACTATTTTTTTAAATGATTTTGAATGAAGTCTCTTTTGCTCACATAAGACAAGGCTGTATTTATTTGATCAAAAATACAGTAAAAACAGTAATATTGTGAAATATTACAGTTTAAAATAACTGGTCTATTTGAATACAATGAAAAATGTAATTTATTGCTGTGATCAAAGTTGAATTTTCAGCATCATTACTCCAGGCTTCAGTGTCACATGATCTTCAGAAATCATAATAATATGCTGATTTGCTGCTCAAGAAACATTTCTGATTATTATCAATGTTGAAAACAGTTTCTTTCAAAATGAAAAATCTTACTGACCTCAAATGAATATATGAATCTAACATTTTAGCCATTTTAATGGTTTGTAGCAGCAACATTGGCACATTAATAAAGATTTCAAATGATGAGCAAAAACACTTGTGTATATCAGCTATTTTATAGCAACCTTGAATGAAGCTCATCCATCAGATATTATATCGCCTAATCTTTCTGATTTACAAGCATGATGTGTGAATCTTCTTCTCATAAGATGTTACTTCACATTTTCTGCCGTCATGCAGTAAAAAGTGTGCTTAACATGATCAGCACTTACTGTCCTCCAAAGTCAACGTAGAACCATCGCTGCAGGAGCTCGTAGGTCACCAGAGTCACACCGAACTGAGGGGACGAACGGAACACACGAGCTACAGAGAACAGAGAGAGGACTGAGTGAGTATGGATGTGACTAATGATATCAGTGTCGTGTGTGTGTGTGTGTGTATACCTCCAGCTCCCTTCCACAGAGCTCGGAAACCTTCCTCGTTTAAGATCTTCCTGAAGCAGTCGATCACTCCAGAGTAAGTCGTCTGACCGGCGCGGGCAGCCACCTGTAGTCGTGTTTTGATGACATCAGCAGGGGTGACAAGCGAAGCAGCCGGGATACCTGTAAAATAAAAACATCCAGACATCTACTAATACATGAAAGAAAATCTCTGATCTGCAATAGAAAATCTAGTCTTATCATGCATGACACATTCATATATGTTATTTTAAGGGAAAATATGATTTGTCTGACATTTCAAATTCTGAAATCATGAACTGTTCTTGTTCCATATTATTTTCCAATGAACATCAAATTGTTCAGAAATATGACACATCATTTAAGTTACATGCACTGTGGATGTGTGTTTGAAAAAAGTATTGGAAGATCTGTTCTTCCATGTTATAGCGTAAAAAAAAAAGAAAAAATAGAGTATGAACTTGGTTCTGTGTATCGGTTGTTGATTGTGAGATGTGGAAAATTGAAGGCAGATGAATGCAAGCTTGAAGATGGGGTTTAAGAAAACTAAGTCGTCCAGCATACGTCATCTTTTTCCTCAGAAGATCGAGCTCAGACATTTTGATTAAAGTGAAAAATTAGATGTATACATAAATTATTTATTCACAATAAGATCAATATTATGCATTTAAAAATATGTAGGGTGCATTTTAATTTCATGAAAGTTAAAAAAGTAAAAAATAATAATTAAAAATAGAATAAAATGGTTATTTTAACACACTGGTAGCCTTCAGTCATTTTACAAATGAAATTTTGAATTCATAATATTTTTTTACTTTATCAGAATGTTATTGTACTTGGTGACTTTTGTGGCACTTGCTATGTGAACACTAAAAAAATCATGGACACGACTGGAAAAAAAATAGTAACTTTTTAAATGAAAATCAATGAAATTCATGATAAATTCGAAAAATACAAAGCAATTTTTGGGGGTACAATCTTCAAATCAGCCATGACACGGAAAAAAGCACACAGCAATGAAGGGGATAAACTCTAAAACAAGAGCAAAATAAACCCTCACTCACTCACACATACAGTATGTGTGTGCTTGTGTGTGTACAGTCCTTAACTTAACTGGGTGGGTCAGCATCACAAAGTTCAAGCGAGAGTCATGTTCTGACCTGCGATGGCTCCAGCGGTCAGCAGCTGCAGAGGCCCCACCCTTCCATCCTCATCTGCCATACTTGCCTTCGTATGGGCATAAACGGGGAAATAGATGGCAGAGAAGGGGATATCACGCAGGAAACAAGCCTTCGCACCCTAAGGAGGACAACCAGTAACATTTATGTGTTAAAGTTTACACCAAGTCATCAATTGTAATCTGACGGCGATTCAGGAATAGTGAGTTACAATGTCAAATTTGGTTGGATACAACGTTTTAAAGATAGACGCTTTCCCCACCTTGTAGAGGCCAAAGAAGCCAAGGTCTCGGACCACACTGAGCGCGCTCACTCTGGGGCCAGTAGTGATCTCACCGGCGACCTGCAGACGAATCTTAACAATTTCCAGAGGATTGGTGAAGATAACCTGTGACCCACCGGCCTGGAAAAACAAGACACAGAAAGTTTAGACATTTAAGTACAACATAACCCAGTTTAACAGTTCTGTGCAGTTTATTATACTCACACATCCACCAGCGAGAATCTCAGCAGCCAGAGGTATTGTATCTTCTTTTGTGGTAAATTTGTCTCTCATAAAGTCATTCACCTGGAAGACAGATACAGAGAGACTCGTATAATTGGCTTAAGGCTGATTTATACTTCTGCGTCGAACCTACGCCGTAGCTTTTACGCCGTAGGCTATGCATCAGTGTCATCTGTTCAGAAACAGCTTTCTACAGGATGTTTAATGACACTCACAGTGAGCTTGATGGCTTTTTCTGGAGCCACTCCGATTAGCTGGGGTAGAAGACCTGTAGGGGAAACACACACACACACACACACACACACACACACACACACACAGACAGACAGACAGACAGAAGAGCAGGAAGAAAAGAAAGTGAGATCAAGGTTAGGAAAGCTGAAGACAAACACTTTATTTCATTTCGTTCTTCTGAAGCAGCGATGATAGCATAAGACAAATCCAACCTCTATAAAAACCGAAGACGCCCTCGTATCGCAGGACTTTCTTGGCGCAGTCAAAGCTGTTCTTGTACATGAGCTCTCCTACGAAGGAGCCGGTAGAGCGCTGGTTCTGCATACGGGTCTTGACCAGGTCTATGGGGTACACAGCTGTGGCACCAGTGGCTATAAACACACACACACACAGGATAAATTACATTTCAATCAAGTGTAATTACTAGGGATGTTCATTTTAACCGGTTAACCGTTAACCGACCATATAGAATTTTGATCAATTAATACAATCAGTTAAACGGTTTAAAAAGTCTTTTGTTTCCCCAGTAATTTATCAAAATATATAAAAAGATTTGTTGCATGGTTAAAATACGCTACGCGTATAAAAAAAAAGTAGTTTTTTAGGGAAAAAAAAAAAGTCGCATTTTATTATTTCATTCAGAAATAGGCCTAATGCGGACGCAAAATGTTTACAAACATTGTAATAAACACTGTAAACATAGCTAGGCTATTTTAGTTCCCCTCACTCCACAACAAATCGTTTGCTGCTTTTTGCGCATGTAAAATTAATCCCCGGGAAACAAATGTTAGTATTTTTAAAGGGGTCACAGACACTTATCCTTTCTAATTTAATTCAATTCTAATTTAAAATAATCTTGTCAGTTAACGGTTAAATAATCGGTTAACGAGCGTCGGCTGTCGGTTAGGAAAAATAACCGAAATGAACATCCCTAGTAATTACATATATACTCATCCATGTAAACCAGAAAACCTTGTGCATTTAAAGAGGCCATGGAAAACAAGATCGGTCTTGTTCTTTCTGAAATTCTGTTCGTTTTGAAATTCTTGTTGATTTGAAAATACAGTAAAATCAGTACTACTGCGAAACATTATTGCAATTTAAAAGAACTGTTTTCTATTGTAATATATTTTAAAATGTAATTTATTCCAGTGATCA